ATAAATTTTATGTTCAGTATATTTTACCACAATAAAAAAAAAAAGCTAAAAGACCCCATGGGTGGGAAATATTTCCTAAACCACACACACATACACAAATGTAAATTAACCATAAAGAATTAATATTTTATCAAAATAAGCTGACATTTGTAAAGCACTTTGAGCCTTACCTGGCATGGAGCAAGCACCAAGTATTAAATAAAAATTGATAACACCCAAAGAGACTGAAACAACAACAAACTACATGGTAGCAGAAGATATTCTCAATACTAACAATCAAAAGACTATCTGAAATATACAAAAGAAAAGTTACCACGAAAAGGCCAGCAAACCTGAACAGGCGCTTCATAACAGAAAACTCCAGTGGCCGACCAACAGATGAACTCAGCCTCAAGGTGTTTTACATATACATACGCAAGTCAGCTCTTTCTCCACAGCATACACGTAGGTGTTCCAGGGCCCACAGGTGATGGCCTTTACTTGGAGTTGCTTATCTACAAAGTATTCCACTCAGCGGGGCCGATCCACATCCAGGTCAACACTTGTTTTCTATTTTTTGGTTAATAGCCATCCTAATGGATATGAAGTGCTATTGCATTGTAGGCTTTTTTTTTTTTTTGACAGGGTCTCTCTGTTGCCCAGGCTGGAGTGCACTTGTGATCTTGGCTCACTGCACCCACCGCCTCCTGGGCTCAAGCGATCGTCCCGAGTAGCTGGGACTACAGGCACATGCCACCACTTCTAATTTTTGTATTTTTAGTAGAGATGGGGTTGTGTCATGTTGCCCAGGCTAGTCTTGAACTCCTGGGCTCAAGCGATCCACTTGACTTAGCCTCCCAAAGTACTAGGGAGTATAGGCATGAGCCATCATGCCTGGCCAAGCCACTTTTTAAAATGGGCAAAAGTTAACAAAGACGACAGAAGGATGGCAACTAAGCATATGAAAAGAAGGCCTATGTCATTAGGCATTAGGGAGTTGTAAATGAAAACCAGTGAGACACCACTTCATACACAGAGTAACTAGAATGATACAAAGGCTGAACATACCAGCTGTTGGTGAAGACGTGGAGAAACCGAAACCTTCAAACATTACTGCTGGGAGTGTAAAATGGTACTACTCTGGAAAACAGTTTGGCTTTTTTTTTGAGATGGAGTCTCACTCTGTCACTCAGGCTGGAGTGCAATGGCATAATCTCGGCTCACTGCAACCTCCCCCTCCTGAGTTCAGGCAGTTCTGTTTCAGCCTCCTGAGTAGCTGGGATTACAGGCACATGCCACTATGCCCAGCTAATTTTTGTATTTTTAGGAGAGACGGGGTTTCACCATGTTGGCCAGGCTGGTGTCGAACTCCTGACCTGGTGATCTTCCCACCTCGGCCTCTCAAAGTGCTGGCAGGTGTGAGCCACCGTACCTGGCCCAGCTTGGCATTTCTTAAAAAGTTAACTGTATACCTACCATAGATGTGATCCAGCAGTTTCACTCCGAGGTGTTTATCCAGAAGAAAAATATATATACATACAAAGACTTGTATATGAATATGTATAGCAGCCTTGTTTTTAATAGCCAAAAACTGGAGAAAAGCCAAATGTGAAAAATCTCAGATGAAAAAAATGGTGTATCTACACCATGGAATACTAAGCAAAAAAAAAAAAAAAAAAAACCAAAAAACTACGGGTATAAGAAACAGTATGGGTCAACCTCAAAGTAGTGAAAGAGCGAGACCAAAAAAAGTATATGCTGTGTGATTCTTCTTACATAAAACTGCAGGAAATGCAAACTAATCTGTAGTAACAGCAAGAAGTCAGTGATTGCTAGGCAGGGCGAGGCTGGGCAGGAGGAATAAGAAACGACTGGGAGGAAACTTCTGGGCTGGAGATGCTTGGTGACTTGGCTGTGGTGGTGGTTTTTCTGTTTTAGCCTCCACAGGTGTACAGTTTCTGTCCATCCTCCCTCAGTAACACTGTTGGCTCCCACATTGAGACAACAGGCATTGAAGCCAGAAGCTTCCTAGGACTCCCTCTGCTCTTTACACCTTAGCGGTTAGATTTTTTATTTCCCACAGAAACTTCTGAGAATAGGGTATTTTTAATTTAGGAATGTACCAGAAAAGATTTAAAGAAGTCACACTTGGCTGGGTGCAGTGGCTTACGTGTCATCCCAGCACTTTGGGAGGCCAAGGCGGGCAGATCACCTCATGTCAGGAATTCAAGACCAGCCTGGCCAACATGGTGAAACCCCATCTCTACTAAAAACACAAAAATTAGCCAGGTGTCATGGTGGTGGGCACCTGTAATCCCAGCAACTCGGGAAGCTGAGGCAGGAGAATCACTTGAACCTGGGAAGTGGAGGTTGCACTGAGCCAAGATAGATAGTGTCACTGCACCTCCAGCTGGGTGACAGTGAGATTCAAAAAAATTGACACTCGTGACTAAAAACTTCTGGGAGATCCTTTTAGTCTCTTCCGTTTCTGGTTTTCACACACAGACCAACGAAAAAGTGACTGGGGAAAAAAAATGAAACACCGCACTGTATCTTTTTGAAATTAAAATCTGTATACTTACAATTTATTTTTAAGAATAATTTTATATTTTAAAAACAGGACACATACATGTATGAGTAAACAGCATGGCTGTGACAGACCAAGTCCACACTGGTAAGCTTTTGAGAACCATTTACACTATGTTGACAGTAGTAATGGTTCAGGCAGACAGAGGAAGAATAAATAATAGTGCTTCAGGAAGAGTAGTGACTGAGAGGGTTGGTAAGGAGGGCACCTCATCGTAGATGCTAGAGTAGAAACAACTCCCTCGTAGTGACATGTGCAAAGTTCCAGATCTCGATGACAAAGATAACCCAACCCATCGGAACAGCCAGCCTCCCGATGTGGCTGGCAACTGCAGGGGTAGAAGAACTCAGGCACAGCAGGCACAGAAATGGGGAGACTGGAGCCAGGGACAAATGCTGAGGAGAGTTCCAACGAGCACGTGTGTTCATACATACATACCGCCAACAAAGGGCGTTGCACTGCGCAACGGAACTGAACACAATCTAACAAAGCAGCTCCCACCTTCCTGTCACCTCTTTGGCAGTAGTAGGGCAGGCCATCTCAACTTTGGACACACACGGCCATTCTCATCAGGAGGAAGGCTGTCCTGTGTGGTGGGGACAAGCTTTCAGGTAAGAGCAAAGCTGATAGCTACAGCATTAATTGAACATCCCTAAACAAAAAAGATGTTAATACTCATTACAAGTACACAAGCCAAAATTACCCTAGGGATGGGCACAGTTAGTTAATAATTTTCCTACACAGTGGTGAAATAAAACAAGCTTTTGATCACACTTCAGGAAGCAGAATTATGTGGTAAAGAAGTCAGGCCCCATATGCTAAAATTTGTACTTTCTGCCATAAACTTTTAAAGTCAAAACTAAGTCTCCTAGGACCACTAAACCTGTGGTGGACGTTCATCTGTAACACTCTTTATATCTCTAATAGGCCCATGGTCATGGAGCCTGTCCAAGGCTAGGGTTTTGAGCACACCTAAGCTCAAGAAAAACTAAAGCCTCCCCCATAAAATGAGGTCCAGTCTAGGCACAGGAAGCCACAGCTGGTTGACTGCTCAGGGCCTTAGGACTGGATGTTGGTTGAATTGAGGATTCCAGAAGTAGCGTCAGATTTGGAAGCCTTTGAAAGTTCTCGCTGTTGAAAAATAAATAACATCAGTGGCAATACTGCCTCTATCACACATGCCCCGCCCTTCTAAGTATGGGTAAGTGTCAGCAAAAGGTCCCCTGAAGGCAGTTTCTCTGAGATCCCTAGTGTGGCATAGGTTGCGTTAGGAGCACCATTCTGTTAGTCATAGAGTGCACATGCACCCATGCCCGTGACCTCTTTCCTCAACCAGTCCATTCTGTTACACCTCACAGAAGAGAAATCCTTCATATGGTCATGCACGGCATAATGACAGTTAATGACAGGCCACATACACCATGGTGGTCCCCTAAGAGTATGCCATATTTTTACTGTACCTTTTCTTTTCTTTTTTTTTTGAGACGGAGTTGTTTCGCTCTTGTTACCCAGGCTGGAGTGCAATGGCACCATCTCGGCTCACCGCAACCTCCGCCTCCTGGGTTCAAGCAATTCTCCTGCCTCAGCCTCCTGAGTAGCTGGGATTACAGGCACGCGCCACCATGCCCAGCTAATTTTTTTTTAGTTTTAGTAGAGACGGGGTTTCACCATATTGACCAGGATGGTCTCGATCTCTTGACCTCGCGATCCACCCGCCTCGGCCTCCCAAAGTGCTGGGATTATAGGCTTGAGCAACCGCGCCCGACCTACTGTAACTTTTCTATGTTTGGATACACAGATACTTACCACTGTGTTACATAATTGACTACAATATCCCAGGAATAGCCTGAATCAAAACCCACAATTGCCTACAGTATTCTGTAACATGCTGCACAGGTTTGCAGCCTGGGAGGAAAACACCATCCCACATAGTCTAGGTGTGTAGGCTGTACTGTCTAGGACTGTTAAGTACACTCTATGAAATGTGTACCATGGGTGGGGCAATTTCATTCTCAGAATATGTCCCTGTCATGGACACATGACTGTACTTCACAAAGCTACATTAGAGTTGTCAAGGTAAGTAGGCAACAAGCTTTAATCTCTTGAGCCCTTTATAAAACAATGGGCCAGAACATATATCTACCAATCCCTGGGGCTGAGGGCCTTGTAACCTGCCGGTGATTTGATCTCATGCTGGAGCACATGGTAAAGCAGCAAAAGATAAACACGAACGGCCGTTGGGAAAGACGTTAGCACAGAGGTTAGTTGAGTGGCTTTGGTGCTGCCTGGTGGAGTCTATCAGCTATAGCAACCAAACCAGATGAACCTGCCTAGGACTAGCCACAGAGATAGGCAGGTACTTCAGCCTCAAATAGATCAAATGGGCCTTGGGTGAACAAGCAGAAAGAGAAAGCTGGACCTCTGTCCAGCAATCCGTTGGCCAGAGTGACACACACCCACTTTTATAGGTGGAAGCACCACCAGCCTCATAATTTAAAAACATGCCAGAGTAGGAAGCCAGTTTCAGTGATCAAAACCAGCCACAGCTTTGGCCGGCCGGTTCTATTCTCCATCTCTGCGGCCATCAGGAGAGGAGGCAGGCTAGGGTTTCACTCAATATCCCCTCAACGGTAAGGGACAGCCTCACCTCTCCCTAGTAAAATATTGAGAGAAGAGAACACAGATTCAGTAAAAGGCATTGTTGTTAGGTGTTAGCAAATGTAGAGTAGGATACTAGAAAGTGAAGAGCATTCTGGAAAACCTTTTTTCCAGTGCTTTATCTTTATCTATGGGTCAATAGCTCAATGGAAAGAGGCAAAGGTGAGGAAATCAGCATTAGCTAGCTGAGAGGAGACAGAGCTGGCAATTGAGCCCTGAGGGGTTAAGAAGGCATATACTCCAGGAAATAATCAGCACACAGGCCAAGAGCCTCACTGTCGGCAGCACACAGCTGGGGCTCCCCTCCCCGCGTGATGGGGCCTCTATTCCTTCCAGCTCTTGCAGGCCTTTGAGGTCACAACTGGGGAGGGTCAAGGCTTTCTGTTAAACATGATTTTTAAAAACTGCCTGACATTAGAGGCTGAGAATCCAATTCAAGTCTGACAAGTTTTCTTATAATCATTAGGCTAATCTGTAATGAATGTAAGTCAGATGTGTTTTTTGAGTCCATGAGAGGAATTCCTGCTTCCTTTGAAACACAGCCGAGATGACTGGTTAGTGTAGCCCTATGCCCAGATGAATGAAGCCAGCAAATGACAGATGAGTTTGGAAAGGGACATGGGACATGCAGGGGTTGCCATACAGACCTGAAGCCCAACAGTGGAACTGTCAGAGGGGGATGGATCCTTCTAAGAACAAAGAATTAAGACAGTTACCAAGAACTCCACCAAGAGAGCACCAGGGCAGTGACAGAGGGGTCACCTCCCGCAGCCAGGAAATGGTATGTATATATATATATATTTATATATATATAAATATATAAACACATAAAAATATATAAATATATATATAAATATAAATATATATATAAATATATAAAAATATATATATATATATATAAAACAGAAGGATCCAGGTTAAATGTCTAGTTGCTGCTGCCAGCTTCCTTCCTATATACCGCCCCCTTTAAATCACACCCACCCTGCCCTGGTCAAAGCAGGAAAGGGATTCTCAGCCTCCAAGGTAGCTGACCTAGCTAACAGCCTGGATGCCCCTGGGAAGATACCCGCTCTGCTCCAACTGTGTGCTCCCCAGAGACTGGTAGATATTAGAAAAGGTGAATTACCGCAAACTCAGAATAGGTGCTGGCAACAGAATTAATGCTGAAGTTGTGCTGGACGGGGGCCGAGCCGGGGTACCCACCACTCAGGATGCTGCCGCTGAAGTCTGGTTCCTCCTTGCTGGCTCCATGCCTGCCGGCACGGGGCATTTCTTGCCCTGAACGGGCAGAAATAGCGACTGGCTGCAGAGAAAGGAAAGAGATCCACGTATCATCTTAGTGAACGCGCGTGCGCACATGCGCGCGCGCACGCACACGCAAATACCTGCACTGGTTAAAGGCTGAAACTACCTTTATGTTCATGTCTGTAATCCTATACTTTTTAATTGAAACTATGGGGCCAGGTGCGAGTGGCTCATGCCTATAATCCCAACACTTTGGGAGGCCAAGGCAGGAGGACTACTTGAGGCCACATGTTCAAGAACAGCCTAGGCAACATGGCAAAACCCTGTCTCTAGGAAAAAATTTCTTTAAAAATATGAGTTCTTGATTTACAGGACACCTATCCTTGAGCATAGCCTAATAAAATATTTGAAAGACTGGATGTGTTTTACCACATACTTTCCACTTCTCTACTGAGTACCTGGCATGTTTGGTGACACGGTGTCACTGGGCTGGAACCCACATGTAGGGGCCCTAGCTCCATACCAGCTGAAGACTGGGCTTGGAATTGAGTCTACAGAGACCTCCGCCCGACCTTCAGTTTCCCAGACACGTCCCAGGGCTTTCCATGGGACCGGTGGGGCTCAGAGTGACTGTTCTATTTTTTTGCACATTAGTTTTGGACCATTATTTAATGGTGAGCTAGCTTCTGTCAGAAATGGTGGTGAGCCGAGATGCTGCCATTGCATTCCAGCCTGGGCAATGAGCAAAACTCCGTCTCAAAAAAAAAAAAAAAAAAAAATTCTAGGTGGATGAAAATCTTAGGAAAGCAACAACCATTCAATGCAGAAGGCAAACTAGGTAATACAGGAAAATATCTGACTTGAGGTCATGGATGGAGTTCATAAAAGCCACAAGAAAAAAGATTGAAAAAAAAAATTAGGTATATTAAGAACTTCCTGTTAATCAGCAAAATGCCACAGAAAGTAAAAAGACAGCGGGGCATAGTAGCATATTCTTGCAACCTCAGCGCTTTGGGAGGCCAAGGCAGGAGGATCACGTGAGCCCAGGAGTTCAAGACCAGCCTGGGTAACATGGCAAAACCTCATGTCTACAAAAAAATACAAAAATTAGCTGGGTGTGGTGGCATGTGCCTGTATGCCTGTAGTCCCAGTTACTCAGGAGGATGAGATGGGAGAATGGCTTTAGCCTAGGTCAAAGCTGCAGTGAGCCATGATCATGCCACTGCACTCCAGCCTGGGTGACAGAACAAGACCCTGTCACCAACAAACCCAAAAAGCAAAAAGAAAAAAGACCAGCCAAAAGAGACAAACAGAAATCCTGGGCAATGGGTTTTGTTTTTGTTTTTGTTTTTTGGAGACAGAGTCTTGCTGTGTCGCCCAGGCTGGACTGCAGTGGCGTGATCTTGGCTCACTGCAACCTCCACCTCCTGGGTTCAAGCGGTTCTTGTGCCTCAGCCTCCCGAGTAGCTAGGATTACAGGCGTGTGTGACCATGCCCAGCTAATTTCTGTATTTTTGGTAGAGTTGGGTTTCTCCATGTTGGCCAGGCTGGTCTTGAACTCCTGACCTCAGGTGATTCGTCCACTTTGTCCTCCCAAAGTGCTAGGATTACAGGTGTGAGCCACTGTGCCCGGCCCCTGGGAAATGTTAGTGTAATGCAAGGGAGTTGCATCCAGAGCATATAAAGAATTCCTGGCCAGGTGCGGCGGCTCACTTGAAGTCAGGAATTGAAGACCAGCCTGGCCAACATGGTGAAACCCCGTCTCTACTAATAATACAAAAAAAACAATTAGACAGGCGTGGTGGCAGGTGCCTGTAGGCCCACCTACTTGGGAGGCTGAGGCAGGAGAATCGCTTAAACCTGGAAGGCGGAGGTTGCAGTGAGCTGAGATAGCACCATTACACTCCAGCCTAGGCAACAAGAGTGAAAACTGTGTCTTAAAAGCAAAAAGTAAAAAAGTAATAAAGTCCTGTCTGACTTTGTGCTCTAGAGATGAAGAATCATTACATGTTCCACAGAGTAAGCATGAATGTTTTCACATGCTACCACATGGCCACCTGTTAGCCTTGCAGGGGGAAAATAACATTACAGGTTTTCAGGAAAACTGCTGAAGCTTTCTTTTTTTTTTATCATTACCAGAATGTTGGCCATCATTGCCCCCCTCTGAGTTTAATGCAAGGACTCAAGTGCACACACCAAAGCTGGCCATTGGTGACTGTCACTAGAGGCCACTGTTCAGCCTTCCATCCACTCTCAAGTGCACTCAACATGAAGGGACAGAAAAACCCTTTCCCCATCTCTGCAGGACAGAGTGCAGGAGGTGGCTGGGACTACCCTCACCACTCCCTTGAAATCAGCGCTTCCCTAGGCCTTGTGTTTACCTTGTGCGCTTTGCTTTGTGTTTTCGGTGTCATTCCCCGCCGCTTCCTAGGTGTCTGAGCACTGCCACACAGCATCTCTGTCTCTGTCTGCTTTTTGTACTTGAGTTGCTGTGTGAAAGTCAGAAGCACCAGTGATAAACCTTAGGAAGAGAGCAGGCCTGGGAGGGGAACAGAAGCAGGGCCCAGAATCTAGGCTCATGTCTCTGCAGACAGAGCTAAAAAGAGCTGCCATGGGCTCCCAATTCAACAAACCCCGGTCCCTGGCAGAGACTCTGGGCTGCTCAGATGACCATCTTACTTACTCTTTCCTGTCTGTCTCTCTCTCTCTCCAGTTGACGCATCTCCCATTGTTCTGCCACATACTCCGTAAATTTCTGCCCATTTACCAGAAATGCCTTTGAATGTTCCTGTTCCCACAGTTCAGTCTGTGCCTTCAACTCCTCTTCCAGCTGAGACCAGAAAGAAGGACGTGTTCATAACTTCAAATCTTTTTTGTAAAGCCCAAATGAAACGATTACCCTAGAGGGTGACTCTTCCACCCCAGAGCATCATTAGCCTCACTTCAGGTAGCTGGGCACACAGGCTACAGGTCAGAGTGACCAGAAATCAAAGCCTGGGACATTTCATTCACACCA